TCAGCCATAAAAAAAAAAAAAAGAAAAAAAAACACAGCCTCTAACTTTTTTTTTTTTTTCCTGTATGCACTTTTAAAATGAAATCATTATGGCACAGTTACTCTTCTTCACCAAGCAGCTACTGGAGTTCCTGATCTACTGATGCTTGAGTGCAGGTAGGTGAACAGCCAGTAGCATTTACTCAGTTTATTTGTACTTTCAGCCCAGGATGATGTCTTTTAGTGTTCTGGGTTATTTCTTCACATTTCAAATTTCAGGTAACCTTGCTCTCTGCACACATTTAAAGATTTTTTACATTATTTCCTTTTCTCCCCATTAATGAAGTTAAAGTTTTCCTGCCACTTTACTCTCTGAAATGCAGCTTGGCAATAAACCTGTATTTTTCCTGCCCGGTTTGAAAAAGCACCATTAAGTTAATGCATTTCAGTCATGAGGGCAACCAGAGAAAGGATGAATTTCTGTAAGTCTTTGGTCTTTTTCTCACTCTCTTTTGCAATGTGAAACTTAAAGCCATAACAACAAATAATATAAAGAAAGAAAACTGGCTTTTGTTGTAAACAAGTGTATGTGAGAGTGTGTGTGTGCGTGTGTATATTTGTTTGTGTGTGCATGCACAACAAAAGCTAATTTTCTTTAAGAACATCTGTATTTGCAGAGTAGGTGTGATGTGAACTAACCTGACATCTTCACAAGTTCCACAGGAATCTCTCTTTAAGCTTGGAGAACTTTCTAGGGAGGGTTTTTTTTTTATTTAGACATAATTTTGCTATACTGTATATTGCAGATGGTATTTTTATGTTTATGCCTTAAACTTTTTTGTTTGTGCATGTATGTGATATTTCTTACTAAAGGAGAGAAAAAAAAAAAGCTCTCAAAATACAGCCGTTTGACAGCACATGACTGAGAGAACCAAACATAAATCATTCTCATGCATGCTTGTTTTTAAAAAAATGTATACCTAGGAGAGGTCTTATACGTATTTTAGTAGTTACTGTCTTCCCCTTTTGATGACTTTCTTTAGTGTTAACATTTCTTTGTACTCTTAAGCTACCCATTTCACTGACTACTGGGTATAATATACTTCAAAAAGTGTAAAAAAAAAAACCAAACCAAAAAAACCCACAAAGAAACTTGGAGAATGGATACAGTTGTATTATCGGTGTTAGGATCTCCGCTTTTGCTAAAGGCAAAGTCTTTTTGCTTTAGAAAAACCACCCTAACTCGCCTGTGCGGAAGACAGGCCATACACTATGGGTAAGGTACTGGTGTACAGGTGAGCACTGACTGCTTACTAAAGTGTCGCATTTAAAGCAAATATAACAAGGTCCCAAAGCCCTATAAAGTTAAGAGTTACAATATATAAACGCATTTATCTTTAACTGCAGTATTCATGGTTGCCTAAGGTATATGGGCATTAGCATCACAGTCCCTTGATTAGCATTTCAATGGGGTTTTAATGCTCACCACTGCAATGCAGACTTGCACACAGTGATATAATCAGGGGTCGGTCCCACAGCCACCCCAAGGGCTGGCAGTGTTTCCACTGCCGTTACTGCCCTGAATTTTCACCTATCCAGCTCCTGTCCTAGCTCAGGCCATGAAGTCATCAGCATCTCTTCCATCGAGCTCAGTAGAAACAACTTCACCACCCACCCCAGCCCTGCCTTAGTGTTCGGAGGTAAAACTAAACTCCCGTTTGAGATAAACATCACCTCCCCAAATAGCAAATGCTCAATTGAACTGAACTGCAGGCCCGATTCATAAAGAAATACACAAACCCTTGTTTGTTTTTGGCATTTTATCAACGGTAGGTAGAGCATATGGATGAAATTCCAGCCAGAGAGGCTCTGGTTTAAATGGGCTGAGGGAAAACCAACCCATACAGGTTGAGCAACTGTGAGGGATCTCTGGGGAAGGCAGGAGGAAAAGGGACTCTCATGCATTTGCCTCATCCAACAGGTGAGTCAGTCACTCCACGACAGCCCCCAACAACAAATTATGAAGCTGGATGGGTTTGCATGCTGCTTTTTAAACAAAATGCCTGTTTTTTTTTTTCCCCTGGGATCTCAGACACGCAGTCCTGTTTGCTCTGGTTTGCCACTCGCACAACAGCAGGGGACTCATCGTGAGGCCAACACAAGCGCAAGCAGCATCGTCTAAACCGCTGTCTTAAAATTCAAGTGGGGCTCAAATGATTTACAAGTCTACATATGGGGTCAATCTCTCTAGCAACAATTCCTCATCTTTCAACACAGCGTATCATTTTATGCTTTTTAAGATGGAAACATGATTGTAAAATACATTGAAGCAACTACAATTCCTTTACATAGACATAATTAAGGTACCCTTTGTTCACCTCAGAGAAGCGTCTGCAGTGATGGCACAGATGTGTAAGGTTGTTCCCTAACAGCTCCCCCATACAAATTCATACCAAAATAAATGGCTGAATGTCCTTAAGTAGTTTCGTGGCCTTCGTTATATGAGAAGGTGACAACCTCATCCAAGAGCCTAGCTGAGAAGACCAGCCACTCAAAATTAATTTGTTGAGATGGAAATCCTCAGCAGAGCAGCCAGAGGGTGCACAGGGATGAGGACTGAGCCCCCAGCCTGTCGGGAGCGGAGCATGGGAATCAGGATGCAGCGTCCCTGCTGGGTCAGTCCCTGCGTCCAGCCCTGCCTTTCTCACCAGCATTAATACTCTCGGAGATGAGGAGGTTAATGCAACTCATTTTCTGTACAGGGTACTCTTCCTGCAGCACATGTCTTCACAACTGCTCACACGGGATTTGTTTATGAATTGAGCCATGCTTGCTATAAGGTTTGTGATCAGTATTAAATGAAACAGGGAAAAAAACTCTACAATAAATGTAGGACTATGAATGGGACTTCAGTTGTGGTCCCAGAGGTAACGTACACAGTATTTTGCTATATTTAACATGGTAAGAAAAAAGTCTGTATCACTCTAGGTGCCCCTACAGTCTTAATGCATTTCATTAATATCTGTTTTAAGATGCACAACCAGTTCCCAAGACATCTCCTGTCCCTCCCCCCAAATAAACTAGTTTTAATAACAAGATAAATATGATGTGCTTCTCCTTGCTGAGTGCATTGACTTAAGGCATAGGCACAATTCCCCTCTTTGAACAGAGATGGTATAGTCCTGTGTCCCAATACAATTGTTATCCTGGGTGACCCTTTGCATTCAAACGTTGACTCAAGACATAATAATTACAAGAATCATTCATTAACAAATAGTTTGAATTCGTTAATTAATCGGAAAACATTACTGAAATAAAAGTAGATCATGTAATCCTCTTTCAGGAATAATTTTTATGGGAGTGTTGCTTTGTTAGGCAGCAACACATCTAATCTAAATTTCATAGAAATCTTTCCTTTGAGTCCAGCTAGTTTTGGATTAAGCCAGAATTGTTCATTTAAAAAAAAAAAAATCAAACCCTGGTGCTCTCCAGACCACAGGAAAATACGTGGAAATCTGTAAAAATGAATGGGCTAAATTATTTCTGAATATTTCTGTCATTTCCATACATTTTTTTCTTGAAGATCACTTGAAGAATACCAACTTTACTTAGATATCACTAGGTGTGGGCACAGATCTGTCAGATTTGCCCATGAGGTAATATCTTCAAAAGCATCTCAGTGGCTTAGAAACCTTACTGTCCTCGTGAGATTTACTGCAACTTGGACGCTTTTGCAGTAATTAGTACATTTGTTTTTCAAGGATTTTTGCATGCATGTGGATGCAGTTATGGGTCAGAATTCAATGATCTGGGCTCTTCTCATTATTTTTCAGAACTTGAACTGTGGAAGTAATGTTACCAGATCAGATTTCACATTTTATCCTGCCCGTAAGTGACTCCTGGACTTAAATAAAGAAAAATGAACCCATTAAGAGATTCAACCACAGAGTTTTTGGGGCTCAAATTCTAGAGGAACCAGCACCCAAAGCACCCAAAGCTTTCCAGTAATCTGGCTTTGTCACAGTCTTTAAATCTTTAAAAAAAGTCTGTTTCATTGTCAGCATCTCTGATATTTGCAGTCTTCACCAAATCCAAGTGACCTTGGACTCTATATCCTGAAAAGGAGATGACAAAAAATCTGGCATAGCCTTGACAATACACATCTAATTTGTATGAATTTCTCTGTATCTATGGGTAGACTAGATAATTTTCTCCGTTTCTATAGGTTTTGATAGGTAATGTTCAAATCTTAAATCTTCACGCCTTCACGTGGTATCTTAAATCTTTTAAAAATTAAAGGTGCTAACGGAGCATGTGTAGGGTGATCCAGGACACCTGTTAACTAAGGAAGTTCTGGATTTTTCTATTTAGTTCAACTTTCACAATTTTCTTCCTTCCAGGAACTAAATGCATTGCCAGTTTTGTTAGCACAGAGATAACGTGAAGTTAGGATTAGAGCTGATGCATCACATCTGAATAGCACAAGGCATCCTTGGCCATGCACAGCCAAGTCTCAAACCCCTCCAGAAAAATACATGATTATTCCAGCAAGATCTGGACTTTTCTGCTGGCCAAGTGCAATCCATGTCTCCCAACGGGGAATCATGCTTCAGGTGAAAATTAAAGAGTGCAACTTAACCTCAGGTATCTTGGATCACTCTAGAGTACAGCACCACTACTGGCTATTTTGTTGGTTTGTGGCTTTTTTTTTTTAATGACACTGATTTAAATGGTGCAAAAATAATCAGAGATGCTTCTTTTCCTTTTGTATGTTGGTGGATCTACATCGATTCCAGGGTCTTGCCCAGCCAGCAATCCCCTTGCTCTGAGCACATGATCAAAAACAAGGGGTGATCATTAGACTATATTAATATGGAAGGGTCCAGGGGAGCATCAATTCAGCAGATTGTACCAGTAAATTTTGGTGCGGGAAAGAGAAATGCTACACAAATGTAACAGGGTCACCCTGGGATTCCTTGTACTGAAACATCATTTTACACAGAGGATATATATATATTTTATATATATATTTTTATATATATATATATATTCACACACACGCGCGCGCACACACAAAAAAAGTCTTTGATAGGCTTTCTGTGTTCTAGTAAAAATAGTTGGCAGCTGCAATCTGTGAGACCAGAACTGGCTTTTGTGCTGCCTGCGATGCCCCACTGCAAATTGTCTCTCAAAGGCAGACGCTTGTATTTATCTGGCAGGTCGACCTAGTGTCTGCCTGAGACAGAAACAACCTCCCATTGGGACACACACAGAGCTCGTAGACTTTTTGCCTGGACCCTGCAGAAGAGGAAGATCCTTGAGGCAAGTTAGGTAGTTTGATTTTTGCAGAATTCAACGTTATCTGAAGTCAGAGGCGGGGGAGAGAGAGAAAGAGAGAGAGAATTAGTGGAGAGATGTTATTTCTGATCTTGTGTTTAAAGATGCTTCCTTTGGACAGCTCAGCTGCTACAAAAGCTGGGTAGGCAAGTGTACTGAGATGGAAAGTCTGATGCAAATCTGGGTGAGCATATGATCTGCCTTTACCATGAGCCACCTGAGACCTCCAGTTTGTTTTTGCTAATCTACCCACTGTGTTTTCTTGGCTTGTAGCTTCCTGGGGCACCTCCGTGCTTGGGTTAACCCAACCAGAGGTACCCCACTGGTAGGTGGGGAGCGCGTATGGTCACGTCTGTGCAACGACTCTGCTCCTCCACCAGGACTTCTAGCACTGTGAGTGATCCCATTGCCAGTTAAGCTTACAGGCTCACACCACTGACTTTTATGTGTATTTCATGTATATGTGTAACACTTTTATGTATATTAAAAATAAATTAAATGCTGCAACAGACCTGAATTTCTCCTTATAAAACAGAACATGAAACCGAACATGTGGCAGCTCTTAGACACGTGGCAGCTACAAGGGAGTGCTCTAACATTACCAAGAAGAGCACAGTAAGACACCTGCACACCAAAATATTACAGGGTGACTGACAGTATTTGCTCCTGTCTTGCAATTACAATAAGAGTCTCCACTTCAGTTTTAGTATCCAACCATCTAATCTCCTGAAAGAGACAGGTCAATGTATGCATTTTAAATTAGTGTTTCAAACACTAAGGCAACTGCTTGCAGTAGTGAAATACCTTGGATTTCAATTGTAGTACATTAGGTCGGGGTTTTTTTTGTATTTTGCTTTTTTGTTCTTTTTTTTAAACACCCCTGGTCTGGGTTTGGAATGTCTTAAAATATAAATGTTTAGAAATAACAGGAATTGCAATAAAAATCCCATGCTATTTATTACACCTGACACTAAGATAGGAAAACGTTAGCCTATGTTGGAGCCCTGCTGCCAGGAGGTTTGCTGGGGAATGGGAAGCTCCTCCTGCGGAGGCTCTCAGTGGGTTCCCCAACGGGAGCTCTTCAGCCACATCCTTCAGTGTCTTCCATCATTGCAGGAGGAGGAAGAGATAAGAACCATGTGCTCGTGTATTTTTGAGACACCAAGAGAGGCTTAACTCAACACCTATTTTACTTTTGTTCTTTGTTATCAGTTTTAGTTATTCTCTCTTTCTCTTGGAACTTTCCCCAGTGCAACAACTTGTGTCTCCTAATGTTCCCTTTCTTTCCAAAATGAAATCATCAGCTACAAAAGCTTTTCAGATCAATAACGATGAATTAAGCTCTTCTTATAGAAAAATGTATGATAAAAGATTTAATTATGTTGGCCAAGTAAATCTTCTTTTAAAGTGACATGGAAACAAAGAACTTAGGAGCACTGTGTATTTTACAGCCGCATAAATCTGCTTGAACAACAGATACTATTATCCAAGCACTTCAAAAATAATGAATCAGCCTTTGCCACAGAGTGAGGCTCGTTTGCATATGATATGTTCAATCACTGCTAGCAGAAACTAAGCTAGGAAGGCCTGCTTCACCAGTGCCTTCACACCAGTGTTTCAAATGGAGCGGCTCAGTGACTCAGAAGGCTACAAATCTGCAGATCTGTGGCTTGGTTTGTTTTTGCTGCAGGGCTTGATGTCCTTTGCTTACCTCTCCATCTTTGGATTCCAGCTTGAGCTCTGTCCTGCACGTGGCTTTCAAGCTGCCGGCCTCGGCGTTGATCTCGATGCCTTTTGGAGCCTCCATCACCAGCGCGCGCGTAGGTGACTCCAATCTGTAACAGAAAGGGGAGTTACAGAGCTCAGTGGGTTGAATATTCACGCTTAATCTCAGGCTGTTGTCTTGCACAGCCTGACTGCCCATTGCATGGCAACTTAGGACCTGCTTACATTCAGATCCATGCCTGGTTTAGTCAGTGGAAAGAATTCATGCATAGTGTGGTAAAACACATCACAAATCCAATCTGCTAACATTTCACATCAACTTTGCTATGCTGTAAATGCTGAGACAAGATGCAAGAGTTTAGCCCATGATCAACTTGCTCATATGCAAGATGTGAGGTTCGGAAGGGTTTAAGGGCATAAGGAAATCAATGAAGAAGAAAAAAAAAAAAGGCTGAAACCCCCCAAATTCCTGATCTCCACTGCTATGCTCATACCCCACTGCTCACAGGCAGGCCCCCCTGTGCAGTACTTCGACCCCTCTTAACCGTGGATACACGACACAGGGATCTGACAACTCTGTTATAGCACTGGCTAACACAACCAAACCTTTTAGTTCAGGCAATTGGGGTTAATGCTGTAAGATGTAGAAGTGCAAGGTTCAGTCTTCCTTGCTGATTATCCATTCATAGGTCTTGCATTAAACTTGTCTCTTTATTGTCTCTTCAGTGTCTTATTACTTTCTGCATTGAAAATGATAATAAAAACCAATTCTCCCTCTCTGGGAATATCCTCTTAGTTGATTTTATCACCATTTATTTACTGTACCATCACAAAATCTAGCCTATGATCTCCCCAGGTGAAGCAGGCAGGCAGCCTGGAACAGAAACTCCTCTGCTTCGAGTGCTTTGGGCAGGCAGCACTGACAACACCGAAGCACAAGGGCACACACAACCACCAAGCTTACTTAGGCAGCTTTTAGGATTTGCTTGCATTACTGCAGTGGCACTTCAGCTGTTTCTCTGCTCTTCATATATAATCATTTGTGCAAGTAAGTGTATTCTTAAATGGACTCCTGCTGGTACTGAGACAACATTACAGGAGACTGAGGGAATTCGGCTCTATTTATTGCAGCCAACAGTTCAATAAAGCAAAGGCACATTTCCCTCTGTGTGGCACTTTTCAAGTTATGACTTTCCCTCTTGTTGGTGTCTTCATATTGCTGCTTTTCAAACACCCTTCCCTCAAGACCCCAAACTCATCTGTAATTTCCTGGCTGACTCAACTAAATCTAAATTTCAAGGAAGAACTGAGGCATACGCAGCCCAAGGAACGAGCATGGTCTCATGGTTAGCAGCCTCTGCACAATCTTTCTGAGCTGCTTTTTGTTTGCTCTCTGCAGGGAAGCTACATCTTACATAAACCTTCTGATCCCTCCACTGGTATCACCCCTTGGCTGGTTCCTGTACGAGGAACCTAAGGTTAAGACTGCTGCTGCTCACTTTTTTTTTTTTTTTTTTCCTGATTGAATTGCAGATTGCATGGAGGAGAAAAAGCTTGCAAAGAACGACTGATGTTAAATAGTGCTACCTGGGATATGATTCCCTCTGACCTTCCAATTGCAATAACTGCCTTTCCAATATCTGTTAGAATTTCTTTATGGTAAAAATAGCCACATAGCCTTAGGGCTCTGGCACATGCACTCTGGTGGCTTTCATTAAGGTGGCTTAACATGCTGTCTGCCCCACATTTTCCCTGGAGATTTCTGCCCAGGGATACAATATGCTCTCATCCTTGGTGGTGCAGCTCACAAGCTGGTATCTACCCCGAAAAATGAAGGATGCTCTGCTTGCACTAAGCCCCCAGGATCTGAGATCTGGGATGCAGGCACATATTCCTTCCTGCCGCCTCTGCTCCAGAGGCAGGATCCTCCAGAGGAGAAGCAGAGAGCTGAGGCCGGTAATGTCTTAAGTCACTGTAGCTAAAATCACCAGAGGATGTGTCCAAACCCCAAGACAGCTGAGCTAATCTGGGGATAAAATAATTCCTAAGAACCATGGCCAGGTGACTCTTCAGCTCTCCAACATCTTGGTGACTCTTCAATTTCTTTGATGTCCTGGCTGTCTCAATATATTTGTTCATCTGTTAATCTTGTAGCTCTTCTTCCCACTGAGAAATAAATCTTGTAAGTGCAAAACAGCGTTCAGACACCACAGTGCAAACACATTCATTTTCAGCAGTAGCAGCTCTCAGTTCCTGCCCTGTACCGGAGCAGCCTCCCAGTCGTGCACTGGTGCTTTACTGGAGAGCGTGGAGAGCTGGGAAATCGGTGAATGTCTTCCCATTATGGGGGGGATCAAGAGGGACCTTCTTCTTGTGTATCTTCCCCTGTGCACACAGGTCCCCATAACATCAAACTGAGTTAAATTCATGCTTTGAACAAGTTACCAAGTACCTGGGAGTCTATTAGATAACATTGTCCCAAAGTTTTATTCTCTTTTCATATCTAACAAAGTGACTGAGTTGTTCTCCCTCCTCCACCCAATGAAAACCTACAGGCAGGATGACAGCATCTTACAAACACTGATGAAAACCCATGCAATTAGACACGTCCCAATCCCTACGGAGCTTCTTGCCTCATGGAGGCACAAATGACCCCCTTGAGCACCTCCTGATAGTCCATGGTGTAACGTGGGACAAGCACAGAACACTGGGGCTTTGCTGCTGCTCTGTAACCCACTCCGCTCCCTGCAGCACCACGTGTGTTTTTTGAAGTTAGCTGAGCTGATCCCCACTCTGTCATCCTAACTCACGAGCTCAGACAGCTGCAATCTTGCTGACATGCTGAATTAACTAAAATCCATCCCTTTAGTGCTAAAAAATACAATTTTGAAGCCCAGGGTTTTTTTTTTTTTTTTTTAGAACCTTAAAACTATGGAAATGAGTGCAAGTACTGTAACAGCAAAATATAGCTCTTCCAATGATGAGAAACTTGGGCTCGCAGCCCACATGGTTTTGTACTCCTGCCGTGGGTTTGCAGTTTGACTCTTCTCTCTCTTATACGTTTGATATTGGCATAACTCCATCTGTTTGCATGGGACTTTTGTCCCAATTTATGCTACTGTAAATGAGGACAGAAAGGTCTTAATAAAATTTTCCTTGGCATTTGAGGGGCAAATGATTGTAAGGGATTTAATTTTATTATTTTCTGATATCCTGAATGAATCCCTGAGACATCTCTCTTTAAACCAGGAGCTGAAAAATCTATGCAAAGCAAGAGAAAGCAGTTGAAGAGTTTATGCTCTAGGGGGTTTGAGTAATGTTTACCGAATACTTTCATTTGAAGCAAGTGTTTAAGAGACACTCTGCTTTTAAACCTAATTCTGTCTTCCAGAGAAGAACCAATTTGGAGACTAATAATGAAAGAAAATGATTTAGCAATGAACAGATAATTTTTTCAAAATCAACATTTGTTTTCCAGTGTGATACTCCGGAGCTTTCAGTAGGATTCACATCTCCCAGTTAGGTGTAAGCCTGTACTTACAGCAGTAGGCTGGAAAGGCAGCTGCATGAATACAGATTGTTTCATTATTTGCTCCTGCTCTTGAATTTTCCATCCCAGCAACTGGCACATAAGCCCTTTTTATTGACCATGGATGCTGCTTATTTTTGCTCCAGTGTTTCCAGGACTGGATTCTGACCTCTCTCACAGAGCTGAGCAAGGCAGGTAAATCACAGAATCATAGAATTGTTAAGGTTGGAAAGGACCTTTAAAATCATTGAGTCCAACCTGTTAACCTAACTGCCTGGTCCACCTCTAAACCATGTCCCTAAGCACCACATCCACACCTTTTCTGAATACTTCTGGGGACTGTGATTGCACCACTTCCCTGGGCAGTCTGTTCCAATGCCTAACCACTCTCTCTGTGAAGAAATTTTTCCTAATATCTAATCTAAATCTCCCCTGGCATAACTTCAGCCCATTACCTCTTGTCCCATCGCTTGTTACTCGGGAGAAGAGACCAACCCCCACCTGGCCCCAGTTTCCTTTCAGGCAGTTGCAGAGAGCGGTAAGGTCTCCCCTCAGCCTCCTCTTCTCCAAACTAAACAACCCCAGCTCCCTCAGCTGCTCCTCACCAGCCTTGTGGTCCAGACCCTTTGCCAGCTTTGTTGCCCTTCTCTGGCCACGCTCCAGCACCTCAATGTCCTTGGAGTGAGGGGCCCAACACTGAACACAGAATTTGAGGTGCAGCCTCACCAGTGCCGAGTACAGGGGCACTATCACCTCCCTGCTCCTGCTGGCCACACTATTCCTGATATAAGCCAGGATACCATTGGCCCTCTTGGCCACCTCGGTACATTGCTGGCTCACGTTCAGCTGGCTGTCAACCAACACCCCCAGGTCCTTTTTCGCCGGGCAGCTCTCCAGCCACTCCTTCCCAAGCCTGTAGCGTTGCATGGGGTTGTTGTGACCCAAGTGCAGGACCCGGCACTGAGCCTTGTTGAACCTAATTTCACCGCCAGCCACAGTTACAGCTTGCTAATTCAGGACCGAGGTCAGCTACTTCCTCCCACTGCCATAAAACCACTCCTGTCCCACCTACAGTCTCCTAGTATGTGGATGCAGAGACAGCCTCCTTTCTGGGTGACTACCCACAACACGGGAACCTCTCCTATGGATCCCAAGGTGTCATGTAAGCCCAAAATTTTAAAAGAAAAGACACAAGTAACAGGATTTTCAGAACTATCATAGTAGCCAAGTTCCGCTTATTGCAACAGGTGTTAGGTATTTTTGAAAAATCCCATTGAGCACCTAAATGCCATAACAAATCTGACCCTTAATCTCAGTTCTTAGTTCTGCAACAGAGGTAATAGTACTTCCCAACTCCATGGGGAGGATGAGAAGATAAATATATTAGTGGTTGTGAAGCGGTTACATACTGTAATAACCGAGGCCAGGTAAGTACCATAGCCAAAGATAGATGGCTGGCAGATGGATAACTGATCTTTCCAAAGCTGCAATATTAGGCTCTCATCTTCATCAAAAATACTGTTAGTCTTGTTCTCCCCACTGAGCACACTCAGCCTGCATATCAATGTGCGAGATGATGTG